TAATACAACCCCAAAATCCAAGCTCTCTGCTATGCAACTGAGGGAAGCGCACGCACTGGCCGTGCACAGGCCCTGTGTGTTGTGGTGTGGTGGTGTGGTGGTGTGTGTGGTGTTTGGGTGTGGTGTGTGGTTGTGTGTTGTGTTGTGTTGTGATGTGTGTGTGTGTGTGTGGTATGTGTGGTGTGTAATGTGTGTGTGTATTGTTGGTTGTATGTGTGTGTGTTATGTGTGTGTGTATGTGTGTGTGTGTAACTAGCGAGGGAGTGTATGCCACGCTGTGTAAATAGGTTGCATCAGTTATGGGGTTGAATGATGCGCCTTAAGACCGGCAGGAACACCTGGTGACGGCTGTTGACTATGATGCTATTTGCTGCCAGAAGGTAAGATACAGAATAGTATACTGGAAGGGAAGATGAAGCACTTGAACTGGTTGGAGTAAACTTTGATCTTCCATGGAGGGGGAAACGCAGGGCCAGAGTTTCAACTTTGGCCACCATCAAGGAGAGCGGGAAGTACACGGTTTCATCCGCTCCAACACGCAGAGGACATCCGCGATCTGGTCGGTCGCCGTTTCTCGAGGGTCTGGACGAGAAGTCCAGGTATGCGGTGGCGACTGCTGGCTGGGTCCCAACCCTGGTAAGAGACGTGTTGGTTAAAAAAGAAAGATAGACGCTGGTTGGTAAACGCTCCTGGTTTATCTCTCTTTTTCTGAAAGATGATGGATCATATATGGTTATATCTTCGTTCTCGCGAGGGTGGGGGCAGACTCCACCCTTCCTCAGCTTCTCCAAGGGGGTGATCTGTCATCCTGGACGAGCTACCGACGGCGAGGCACGTGATTGAACTTCTGGCTGGGCGTCACGGCGTTCAGGACGGACAGGACCAACAGAGGGGCGACTTCCGCCGAGCTGCCGTCTACCGTGTGCTGCCCACCATCACCAGGACCGCAGTGACGACTTAGGGTGACAGTTGAGCCGGGGGCAGGATAAATCCTGCGTTATTTTAACACATTTTGTCATATTGGTTTGTGAGCTTGAGCCACGATTTTACAGGGCTCGAATCAGCATATATAATAGGATATTGATGCCATTAATTTAACAATTGCGGTTGGACTGCTAGGCTATAAAACAGAGGTGATCTGCCTCTCTGGTCACTCTCTCAAGCCGTCAAAACACATGTAAATAAAATAAATCGCAAATCCCCTTGGTTACGACTCATATCATGGGAAGGTCTGAATGTGGATTCAGGCAAAACTCGCAGCTGATTCTCCTCTAGACGGGTTTTAAAGCCAACCTAAAAGTTTTGTTTTTATTTAACATTAGTTTATTTTAGTCACGTTTGCCGAGCTTCCCCAAAAGTTATAGCGTAACTTAGCAGGGAGATGAAGAAATGTTCCGTTAGTTTTTGATAACATGTTGGTCTCTCCTCTTCTCCCTTCTCATGCTCTGGTAACTATGGGATTCCGATCAGGAGGCGAGGAGATCCCATCAGTTTGGGTCCAGATTACCCGTGTTCTGACAACATTTGTCTATTAAAAAGCCGGTTACTCGTCTTGTTGTAGTGTACCACGACTGTCCTGTGTGTGTGTGAATTTCTCCGGATTTATTGTATATGATATGCGTCCTGAGTGTGTCCCCATTCAAACCCGCCTCCGCCGCTCCCTCGGTCCTGTTGGTGTTTTCCAGGGGCCTCCCCTAAAGCCACTTCTGATGCGAGGGGGAGGGTGGAGATCTCTATGATGGGTCCCGGTCGTTGGATAAGCAGCTGTGCGCTTCCCTCCTTCCCTCTAATAAGTATTAGATTGATGTTCTGGGGTATTGCTACCTAATGTGGGGTGTCGTCAAATTATGTCTCTCGTTATTGTTAATCTGTTTTATTATATTCGGTTCTGACTGTATGATTCTCAAGTGTATGCTGTTGTTCTGATTGGTAATGCCCAGATTAATCCGTTTATCGTTGGGAGTGACGCTGGCATTTTGTGTTGGTGTGATCATGGTAATGTCAATGGTATGTTAAAAAAATGGTTAAGTCGTGATTAGAAGAGATAATTATGTGTTGTGTATTTCGATTAAGGAATCCCCTCAACCTTTTAAGTTGAGACGATTGAGGAAGCTGATACTATAGCTTGGAGTATGGTTTATTTTGCGTTATGCAACTTATCTGTGTAGTTTGCTAAATAATAAAAGTTGTGGTTCTTATGGTTTTGGCTAGTAAAATGTAGTTTCGCGTAGCCTGGCCCCCCTGCGTGCTGGGTGATTGTGTTGTGTTGAGGGGTTGGGGCGATTGCCAGTTGGACCCGGTCCACAAATCAAGTCCGTTAAACCGTGTATTGAACAAAAGTATGGCATTGGCGCATCTATCGCGTGGCAAACGGCGTGGCGGTTCAGTCAACGAGGCCTCACCGATCAGATCTGCGTTGATCAGGGGGCGCTTGAAGGGCCGAGCCGCCTCAAAGCGAGATTTTTCTGTCTGATTCTCAAACAGTCACTGATAATGCACATCAAGTACGGTCTGAAACACAACACACACAGAGACACGACAACACAGCGCGACACACACACTTTCAAGGATTTTGTCGACAAGGCATGGGGTGCGGAGAAATAATCCTCTTTTTTTTTAATTGGCGTGATTTTAGCCATTGGCTTTAAGATTGTACTTTTGAAGAACGCTGGGTGTTGGCGTATTGTCTGGTTTGATAAACACGTAACTGTTGATAAATCAAGAACAAGAAATCCGTAGTCGCCACTTGATAAAGTAGTCAGCTCAGAGGGGCAGGTGTGTACCCGGGTGAACCTGAACGGAGCGCTTTTGCTGCACCCGGTGACCATAAGAAAAAACCTCAGATAATTGAACGACTGCAGGAGCACGCTGTCCAGGTCATAATGTATGTAGCTATGTTTAACTTTTGTGCTTCACTTTGTGTGCATTTTTTATTGCAAGCGACATGTTTGCGTATTGTATATATTAATAAGAATGGATCTCAATTTTCCTTCTCGCTGCCAACTTCAATGCAGAAAGCAGGCTCCGATTTTTTATTTTTGCAAGGTATCAAACGTGGAGCAGCAGGGGGAAGGCGGAGAAATGCAGGTCATGGATGTATTATGAAGTATCAGACAAAGATCAAGTTTTTCTTCAACTCTCAGCACAGAAATGGGTTCATAATGAAGATTTTAGAGAGTTGAGAGTTTGTGAGGTTTTAGAAGTATTTTCCTTCTTTTACTTTTCTATATTATCACATCTAGAACATAATCTACTGAAATGTTCATTGTAATACAGAGATTAATGTGTCTGACTGTATCTGGGATGAAACATCAGTCCTGAGTGATGTTTGCTTTCTTTATTAAATACCTGCAGCATCAAACAGCAGCAGAAACCATGAGTCCGTCTTTAAACTGAGAACAAAGCAGCAGTAGCTTCATTAACACGCCGACCAGGAGGGATAATATCAGTAAATTCGAATAAAATACAGACGTGGGTGGAAATTTCTGATTCACTTTACGTCCCCTGGTAATACTCGCCCTGTGCACATTGGGCATTTTGGTGTTACCGTACCTGCTACTGGACACAGCCGTGATCTCTGGGAAGGAGAGCTCCAGAAGGACCTGCTCCTGTTCGTCCACAAAGTAAACACCGGTCCAGTTCACCGCCACGATCACGTCATTCTTGGGCAGACTAGGTCCTGCAGATGGATAAGAGTCATATCCATTAAGACACCTACAGCAGTAAGACGTTGTTTAATGTAAAATACAGAATGTTTTTCTGCTCTCGTGCTTCCAACCTGAGAATTTGAAGGCCTCGTAGAAGCGCGAGAAGAGTAAAGGCCACTTTAAACGAGCAAAATCCACCACGTCCTCCTTCACCTTCTGTGTGTTCAGCCTCCTTTTAGTGTGTAATCCCTGCAAAGGTCAGTTGTAAGTTAAGTTACTGTCGCACAGAAAGCAGCAGCAGAGGAAGCGTCAGCTGTGGCGAGTACTGCACCTTTTTATGGGCGCTGACGATGAGCTGAACCCATTTCTCTGCAGTCTTCGTTGAGGTGATTTCTCTATCGGGGATGTATGACGGGATGAGGCTGAGGAGGCGATCTTGGAGGATCTCGCTGCCGTAATCCACGTAGTACTGCTGAGAGGCCAGCTCCGCCAGGTCCTCCTCCTTCAGGACAGACAGACAGACAGAGGACGGGGAAATGATCGTAAGGAAACACAACCAACATCTCAGATAGTGATTTTCTTTACAGACTGTTGGAGAGCATTTCATAACAAAAGTGGACAAAATAAACCAATTATTCAGTTCACCTGAGACACTAATTAATCTGTTCCTGTTAAGCCTGTTACAGTAATTAAATTACTGATTTATTGTACAAATGGTATGGACATGACCTCATTATTTTTATTATTTAATTATGATTTTCCAAAAACTGTAACAAGTATATGATCTAATATGTGGACCACTGGAATAAAATACAAATATAACATCAATATCAAACACATGGAAATGCTATAAACGCTAAAAAAAACAACAACAAACAGTAGAGACGTAACATGTTTGAATGGAAATAAAATTAATTAAAATAAATTGTATAAGCTTGAAAAAGGAAGGTGTAACATATAATAAATAGTATTAAATTGTCTCCTTTTACTCCTCCACTATAAGCTCAAATATAAACTCATATTTTGCATTATTATACTGTTTTATTAGGATTATATCAGTGGCACAAAATAGCCTTCAAAAGAGAATAAATATAGTTTTCCACAATTATTTCTGGGACAATAAATCGTCCAACAAAAGGCAGAGTTCCAGTTCCTCCTAATTTGGATTTACAGTTTTATCCAACATGTCAATTAAAACAGTCTTTAACAGTCATCAATTTACTAATTAAAACAAAGCTGTAAAGTACGACTGCTGCACAGTTTCAATAACAAGCCTCTATATATTTTATAATTGTGGCTCGTTGACAATAATTCTTACTGATTAATTCAAACTGAGTTTGTCCTCTTAAACCACATCACCCTCGTGTCATAATGTGGATGTTTTCTTTAATCTAACAGCAACAAATATCAGATTTTATTATGCAACAGGAGTTAAACTAAGAATAAAGAAGCACCTCATCCTTTCAATTTACGCTGGTGTCGGTGACCTCGTAGCTCCCACTCGAAGACAAACACAGACTGAGTTAAAGCAAACAGCATCCTATTGGGTAACGGCATCATTCAGTAATCAGGGCATCATCTGTGTCACCTGTTGTTGTTTCTCTGTAGTGAAACTGTTGATTTCAAGGTACTGAAACATCACATGGGGCTGAGAGTAGAGCAACACTTTAGGTGTTTTTTCTTACAACGTTTTAACTTTGATTATTTAGATTTGATAGAATATGTTTGGAAATGATGCTGGAGTTTGTTTTGTTGTTTGTTCTCTTGGATGATTTGTGTTCATTTAACCACCAAATGGCTCTGTGATGTTTAAAGTACAGAGCGTAACAATACAGATGATTACTGAATGATACAAATACCCGATATGAAGAATTGTGTGATGTTTGAAATTGTATATAAAAGTGTTTTTTAAGTTTTGTTTGGCCTCTGATGAAGGTGAAATAACTGTTTATATCTATTTATTTGATGTCATTCATTGTCTTGACGTTCTGTGCGTGTATGTCCTTTGGCCTTATTCTCATTTTTCATGGATGCATTTTCTCACATTGTTAAGAAATGTGCCTTATAAATAAAGTTTATTATTATTAAATCTGTGAAAAGAACAAAGTCTGTGTCCCCTTCCTCTAAGAACTTAACGACTGAAAACAAAAATATGTTTTAAGAAAGTGTTTGTTTGTAGTTTCAAACCTTTTTAGGAAGCCTTCAGTTTCTGTATCACTGTTGGAAGGAACTGTTCACCTTTTATTGGGAACTTTGTTTGGAGGCATTATTGATCTCTAACTCGAGAGTGTGATTTACACACCAATGCCTTAATCTTAGTCTTAATCTACAGCTGGCTCTTAATGTGTATCACTGAACAAGGGGGAGCACAATCAATAAACTACAAAACAAAGCCGCTCACCCTCTCGCAGCGGTACTCTCCGAATTTCACCCCTCGGACGATCTGCTGGTAGATGAGGTTGGTGGCGACGTAGTCCTCGGCTGGGTTGTGCCAGGGGTTGAAGATCTCCTTCCTGAAGAACAACCTCCAGGGGGCGTTCCTCTCCTGGGCGCCCTGTTCCTTCGCGTACTGCTCGCACTGGGAGACGGCGTCCATGACGTGGTCGCTCCCACTGCCCAGCGACGACACCTGAGGAGGAGAAACAATGTCAGCAGCAACATTTAGTTTATTTCAGGAAGTGAAGGAAGTTTTTAGAGACTCTTTTGACAGGGGTGAAGTTTGTGTCTTAACATTCCAGTTATTCCCAATTTATGGAATTCCAAATGTTTATGGACCCAAGTGTGCAGAAATATTCAAATACACAAGGCGAAAATAACACATGCACAAGGTTTTTGCCCCAAAACTGCATGTGATCAGTATAAAGTGGGCATGTCTGCA